ACGCTCTTGCGCTCCGACTGCCTTCAGGGGCGCGGAGGCGGCCCCGAGGATAACCCCCATTCCCGCAGTGGGGCTCCCGCTCTTGCGCTCCGACTGCCTTCAGGGGCGCGGAGGCGGCCCCGAGGACAACCTCCTTCCCGCAGTGGCTCACGGTCTTGCGCTCCGACTGCCTTCAGGGGCGCGGAGGCGGCCCCGAGGACAACCCCCCTCCCGCAGCGGCTCACGCTCTTGCGCTCCGACTGCCTTCAGGGGCGCGGAGGCGGCCCCGAGGACAACCCCCCTTCCCGCAGTGGGGCCCCCGCTCTTGCGCTCCGACTGCCTTCGCGGGCGGAGGGGCCCGCAGTGGGGCTCCCGCTCTCGCGCTCCGGCTGCCTTCAGGGGCGCGGAGGCGGCCCCGAGGACAACCCACTTTCCCGCAGTGGGGCTCCCGCTCTCGCGCTCCGACTGCCTTCAGGGGCGCGGAGGCGGCCCCGAGGACAACCCCCCTTCCCGCAGTGGGGCTCACGCTCTTGCGCTCCGACTGCCTTCAGGGGCGCGGAGGCGGCCCCGAGGACAACCCCCCTTCCCGCAGTGGGGCTCACGCTCTTGCGCTCCGACTGCCTTCAGGGGCGCGGAGGCGGCCCCGAGGACAACCCCCCTTCCCGCAGTGGGGCTCCCGCTCTTGCGCTCCGACTGCCTTCAGGGGCGCGGAGGCGGCCCCGAGGACAACCCCTTTTCCCGCAGTGGGGCTCCCGCTCTTGCGCTCCGACTGCCTTCAGGGGCGCGGAGGCGGCCCCGAGGACAACCTCCTTCCCGCAGTGGGGCTCACGCTCTTGCGCTCCGACTGCCTTCAGGGGCGCGGAGGCGGCCCCGAGGACAACCCCCCTTCCCGCAGTGGGGCTCACGCTCTTGCGCTCCGACTGCCTTCAGGGGCGCGGAAGCGGCCCCGAGGACAACCCCCCTTCCCGCAGTGGGGCTCACGCTCTGACGCTCCGACTGCCTTCAGGGGCGCGGAGGCGGCCCCGAGGACAACCCCCCTTCTTCCCGCAGTGGCTCACGCTCTTGCGCTCCGACTGCCTTCAGGGGCGCGGAGGCGGCCCCGAGGACAACCCCCCTCCCGCAGTGGCTCGCGTTCTTGCGCTCCGACTGCTCGGAGGTGGATGGACCTCCTACCCTGACGCATCCATTCAGGAGTTGGCCGTTGTCGGCTCGCGAGGGGGCGTCGCGGCCGTCACTTTTGCGGGTCTAGGCCCGTGGGTTTCGGTCCCAGGCCGTTTTCACTACGGGGAGGTCTACTAAAGGGAGGCTTGTCCACCGCCGAACTGCCCCCCCCCCTAGGGCAGAGACCCCAGCCGATGCAGTCAGCAGCACCTCGCGAGGCTCCTCGCCACACGGGGTACGTGGCTCGACCTCGCCGACGCTGGCCTATCACCAGCCCCTGGCGGAAGCCCTACCCAGCAGGGCCGCAGCGGCCCTGGGAACCGCCTCCGAGGCAGCAGCGAAGAAGATAGGAGCGCCAGCCACGCGGACCAGCACCCCGAACCCAGCCAGGGTGCCGCCGGACGCCAGCGAGCGGCGCGAGGGCGGCCAGAGCCCCACTCCAGGCAGCGGCAGCAAGCACAACCCAGGCGGGGAAACACACACACACACAGACACAATGAACCGTCGATCCCCAGGAAGATATGGGAAAACATGGGCAGTGGGGGGGGGAGGACGAGAACCCAGAAAATATGCGAAAAGATTGGGAATCCTTTCATTTGTGTGTATTTATTGGAGCCCCAGGGCCCCATTCAACAGCCCCACCCTGGCGGCGGGCAAGAACCTGCGGCAGAAGAGGCCCCCGCCGCGCGGCTGGGGACAACACGACCCGCCGGGCCCACGCCGCCCGCGGAGGCGACCCCTATGGGGTTGAGTCGGGCCTGTCCTCGGCATCGCTCGGACGTGTGCATTTTTCCCTCGGCGAGGACCATCGAGGAGCATCCTTGATCACTTGGCGGAAAAAGCCACGCACGAAACCGAAACATGCACAGGGAAGGGACGTCCGTGCGATGGCGGGTGTCCCTCTACAGGAGGAGCACCCAAAAATAGCATTAACAATAAAATAGTCGGGGGACGGTTCTTGGACTATCTTGGAGTACTTCTGGATATAGTTTGACTGTGTTTGATTTTTCGTCCAGGATCTGCCTGTCAATGGGACACGTCCGACCTGACCCTCGGGATCTGCTGCCCACGCCTCCTCGTCCCCAGGATGCCCCGGCAGCGGGCCCGTCGGCCCCCCAGCGCCCGGACGCAAACGAGGGCAGCGCCGAGGCCATTGTTTTTTTCAGAACCTCTTGCTAGCGGGCGTCGGTCTCCACTCGTGTCGGAGGTTGACTTCTCACCAGACCACCGCGACGGCAGCCCACAAGACTCGGAAGCTGATAGACCTCCTACCCTGACACGTCGCTCAGCGAATTGGCCGTTTTCGGTTCGCGAGAGGGCCTCGCGGCCGTCATTTTTGCGGGTCCAGGTCCGTCGGTTTGGGCCTTAGGCCGTGTTCAGTCAAGGGAGGCTTGCTAAAAGGGAGGTTCATCCACCGCCGAAAGACGCAGACGCCCCAGATACAGCCGGGGCGCTGAAGAAGGAACCTTTTTCGCTGGGGAGGGGCTCGGTGTTCCTTGACAGTTTGCCTCGGGTTTTCCTCCGGTTTCCCATGGGAAATCGAAGCTCAACCTCTGGGAAGCAGGGGCCTCGTTCCTCATGTAGGGTTCCTTCGGTCAACGCCCCGACTGTAGTGAGCACCAGTCAGACCCCCGGAGCGGGCCCCAGCACGGCAGATCCCACACCTGGCTGCCCCGGGCAGCGTCGACGCCCCCGGGGGGGCGCGCAGGCGTCCCCCCCACCCTGCGCAGGAGGAGCGGCCCTCGACCGGCCAGGGCGCAGCAGGCGCTGGCGCGGGCAGACCCCCCGCCAGCGACCGCCGCGGCGCCGGCCCCCCAGAGCAGCCAAAACACCGCGGCGGAAGCCAATGACCGGCGGGCACGGCAGCCTCCCGGGACCCTCCGCCTCCTCCTCCTCCTCCTCCTCCTCCTCCTCCTCCTCCTCCTCCTCCTCCTCCTCCTCCTCCTCCTCCTCCTCCTCCTCCTCTTCCCCGCGCGCGCATGCCCTCGCCACCCTCCCAGCCCCCGGCCCGCCCGCGGCAGCGCCTGGACGAGCTGCCCAGGGGACAGGAGCCTCCTCCTCGACCTCGGGCCCCGCTCCGGCCACCACTGAAGCGCCAGGAGGCAGCCTGCCCCCACGCGCCGACCGTGGGTGGCTACGTTGACAAAAACGACCCCAACGACCGCCTAAACGTGCGTCCCCGCCGGTCGATCGACTGGGACGCAGCCTGGAACTACGGGACCGACACATGGGGGATCTGGCCAAAGGTAGTCGACCGACTGTCGAAGGATGGAATGCTACCTGCGACCAGCGGGACGGCAAAGGCAAGGGGAAAGGTGCCTACAACCCCGTTGTTCGTGACGAACTCTGCAGGGTACTCCCTAGTGACCTCCATTACCTCCACAATGACATCTGTCGGCTCTGGTGGTTCCAGGAAGTCGATATGGACTGGCGTGGAGTCTGGCAGCGCCAGCGCCGTCGTGACGAGGACCGGCGCGATGCGGGGCTGGGCAAGGGAAAAGGCAGCGGCCCGCACAGGAAAGGCAAGCGACAGGCCGATCCCACTTGGCCCGACAACGACCAGGCAAGGCCGCGCCAGCCAGACCTCCCGGGAGGGCCTACTCGGGCACCGCTCCAGCACTGCATGCGCTACGGCGATGTCCTGCGACGACCCACACCCTAGTACAGCGCGGCCCCGAGGCCGTGCGGGCGTGCCGGCCACCTTCCCTGGCTGCGCGCCGCCCTCCCCTGGCGATGCGCGGTCCTAGTTCCACAAGTAGTTGCACCGATTAGGTGCGCCCAGTGCTGCCTCGCGCTGTCCTCCCCGAGCGGTGCGCGGCTCGTTTCCACAGAAAGTTGCACCGATTAGGTGCCCCCATTTCCGTCGCGCCCTGTCCTCCCCGGGCGGTGCCTGGACTCCTCTTCCCAGTTCTGCCACGCGCTGTCCTCCCCGGGCGCTGCGTGGCTTCATTTCCATCAGAAGTTGCACCGATTAGGGCCGCGTGCTGTCCTCCCTACGCGGCGCGTGGCCGGCTCACCACACGGTGTGGCACCGATTGGGTGCCCCTCCCTCCTCCTCCCCCCCCCTGGCTACCGGACCTGCCCCGCCCCTGGCGCAGGCCGCCTGGGCGGGCCGGGACAGGGCCTCTTGGCCCCAGTGCTGCCGCCCCGTTGTGCAGACCCACGCGCTGACGCTGCACGACGGCGGAGCCCCCAGCGGGGCCCCCCGCGCCTGGCTTGGGCGCCGCAGGCGCTGGGCTGCGGGACGCCGCCGCCCCGCCTGTTGGGGGTTCCCTGCAGGCGGGGCGCTCCCTTCTCCTCGCCCCCCCCCCCCCTCCTCCCCCGTGCCTTTCCCTCCCTCCACTCGCGCGCCGCCGTGGCGCCGCTCGCGGCCGCTCCTGGCGTGCAGCCCCCCTGGTGGCCGAGCCGGCGGACGCTGCGCTAGGGCGCATCACCCCAGCCTGGCACCCAGTGGATGCAGCATTCTGCTGCCGGCGGTCTGAAACCTGGACTCCAGCTTCGCCTCCACTTGTGCTACCTAGTGCGTCCCCGACCTGGGCGCCTGCACTATCTACGACTTGCTCTACCTCGCACTGAGCATCGGCAGCGCCCGTGGGTGCACCGACGCCACGGCCCGGCTGCTGCCACGGCCCCCGCTGCCGCTGCTGGCCGCGCTGGTGCGATCCGCGTGGAGTTTTTCCACCTCTGAGTGTAAGTCGCCTCCCCCTCCTCCGCGGCCGCCCTGTCCGTCTCTTGTCCCTTTCTTGCGCGACGGCCAATTTGCCATTCGATTCCTCGAATTGCCACACGCTGGAGCAGACCGCCTCTGCCTCGCCGCCGACGAACAATTATCATCATCATGACTTTTTTCTTCGCCATTATCATCCGTCTTCTCCTCTTACAATTTCCCTTGAAGAACTGCGTGGGCCCAGGCCCGCTAGCGCCAGACTCCGTAGCGGAATAACTTCAATGCATGGCCGACCGATTTCACTATATCATCTTGTGGACCAGTTTTCTATCCTGTACAGTTGGTTAGTGCCCCCGGGGCCCACAAAGGGGCCCTGGAGATCCAACATGCAAGCAGACCTCCACATCGATGTTGTTTATGCCGTTGGGGGCCTGGGGATGTCCGAGGATGCACGTTCACGCCACCAGAGTTAGAAGTACATGGTGTCGGTGGTGCGCAAACAGCTGTTCCCGGACCTATCCAGGGACTGTTTCAAAAAGTGTTTCTGGGCAGCCATAGGCGGCGACGAGGAGCCTCTGGGAGGCCAAGGAGCGGGCACCCAAACGCCCAAAGACCTTGTCTCTCTGTATGACGCCGCAGCACTGAACAGGGGAAACGAGCAATACACATACAGACAGACCCTACAGACAGACAGGCAGACAGACAGACAGGCAGACTGACAGGCAGATAGACAGAAAAACATACACACACATACAGTGTATATATATATATATGTGTGTATGTGTATGTACTGCATGTATACAAATTCGCAGACCTCGATACATACATACATGCATGCATACATACACCCATCCATCCATCCGGTCATTCATGTACACACACACACCGTTTCTACATGCATTCACACAATCATTCGTGCATACTCGCATACCTACATATATACATGCATGCATGCGTACATGCGTATAAATATACATACGTGCACACATGTATGCATGCATGCAACTCTAGAGACATACGTACAAGCAGACAGACCTACAGACATACCTACAAACATGCATACGCACAGACACACATACGCAAGCATAAACGTACAAGCATACACACATACACACAGACTCACATACAGACCTATACATAGACAAACATGGTATAAGAACTGGTGCTTGTTTGTCCTTGGAGGTCCGGCGCCGCTTCTCGGAGTTCGACAAGCTGGCGCACGACCTGCAGGCGGCCGGCATGGCGTTCACGGAGCCCTTCCCCCGCAAGACGCTCGGGCGATGCCGCGGCGGGAGCCTCGTCCAGCGCAGGTGCGTCCGGGGTGGGCAGAGTCCCTCCTCCCACTCGCTCCTCCCCCTCGCTCCTCGCTCCTCCTCTTCCGTCTTCGCTCCTCCGTCGGCTGCTTCTCCATCCCCCCTCCTCTCTCCTCCGCGTTCCCTCCTCCTGGCTGCTCCTGGCTGCTCCATCCTTCCCGTCTCCTCATCCTTCTCCTTCTCCTCCTCGCTCCTCCTCCGTAGCCTTTTCGGGTCAGGTCACCCAACCAGCCGGGAATGGCGCGACGAGTCAGCAAGCGCGGAGGCCAATTCCATGTACCCGTCTTTCTGCGGATAGTCTCCTGCTGCGCTGCAATGTCGGCGGGCGGCCATCCGGCGTTCATCCTCAGACCTTCGGCAAACTCATCGTCCTCAGTTGCAGGAGTGGCGCCCATTCTTCACCGAGATGTACGTCATGGTCCCGCCCTCGTACGACGGGCTGACCATGCGTACGACACGGGCTGCACCACGGCGAGGCGGCTAAACCACTCGATCGTGGGGTGGTCAATATGCTCGGTACGGCCACCGCTAGCAAACGACAAATGGAATAAAAAACGAACGCTCATCGGCGTAAAGACTCGGCACTGCACTGCAGGTTATCATCATCCAGCGACAGCTGGCCACGCATGACAAGATGACTATGTCCAAGCTCAGTTGCCAGGCCGGCAACATCGCCCGTAAGAAGAGTCGGCTTGCAAAGGACCCTCAGGGACGCATAGCACTGCGATGTGAGCTGTACACGTCTATCGGCGTCGGGTACGTCCCAGACATCTTCTCGGAGGACCTCTGTGAAAACGGCATTGGCAACCAGGGTTTCGCCTTTTTTTCTGTAAAGTATGCTCAGTTTAGCCAAGAACGCCGTCTCGAAGGCGCTGCAGGACCGCATCAAGCTCGCTACCCAGACCGAGAGTTTCGTGACCTACATCGCGAACGGCATCGGCATTCAGGAGGGCATCGTCACCACAGCTATGCTCAAGTCCGCCACGGATGCAGTCATCGCAGCATCAAGCCCACTGTCCCAAAGAAGGCTCCGTCACCGTGGCTATGCTCGACTCCACCATGAACGCCATTACAGAAGTGGCGCTGCCCATGCCGGCCAATGTCCAGCGGCTCAATATCGCGATCACCGACGCCACGGGGGAGTCTGCAATCTTGTTTGCCCAACGCATTCTCGAGCTCCCTGCATGGATGGTGGCCTGGTCTGCGTTTTGCGAGCTGAGGGGCACGCACTCCAGCATCGCGAGGGACTCCATCAGGAAGAAGCTGCCCCACATCGAGAACGACCGCGCCAGCTCGACGAACTACTGGTGCTGAGATCGCGCGGCTGAGACACACACTTCGCCAGCTGCGCCCGCTGTGCACCGGAGACGGCGGAGACCACGGAGCGCACGGCGGAGCCTCGTCCGAGGGGCCCGCTCGAGATGGGCGGCGGCCAAGGCCCGCCCGGAGCTGCGGCGGGCGGTGGGGCCCCATCGCGCCAACATCGCAGGGCGGATTCCGTTCGGGAAACGACAGGGCGGGCCCGGGGTGTCCTGGAGAATGCCGTTCCGGACCTCGAGGTGACTTTCGCGCGGATCTTGCTCCACCAGGACTGTGAAGACTAGGAAGCGTCCACGCGAAAAGCGCTTCGCTTCTCGCTCGCCGTTCCGGGGTTTGACATGGGCATAAATCCATGCAGCAATCCGCTGCGAAACGTCTGCAAGGTCGGTGCAGTGAGAAGTCCCCGCGCTCTTCCTCCTCCTCCTCCTCCTCCTCCTCCTCCTCCTCCTCCCTCCTCCCTCCTCCTCCTCCTCCTCCTCCCTCCTCCTCCCTCCTCCTCCTCCTCCTCATATTCCTCCTCTCCTCCTCCTCCTCCTCCTCCTCCTCCTCCTCCTCCTCCTCCTCCTCCTCGCCGGGCTCCTCCTCCTCCTCCTCCTCCTCCTCCTCCTCCTCCTCCCCCTCCTCCTTCAACTCCTCCTCCTCCACTCCTCCTCCTCCTCCTCCTCCTCCTCCTCCTCCTCCCTCCTCCTCCTCCTCCTCCTCCTCCTCCTCCTCCTCCTCCTCCCCCTCGGCTCGGCTCGGCTCGGCGATATCAAGGCCTGTACATAAGTGGCCTATTCTCGGATTGGGAAAAAGGGGGGCAAGGAGAAAGGACGAGGAGGGCTCACTTCGGAGCCAATCCGTGCGTGCAACGCTGTCGTGACATCAGGGGTCCCATCCAACAAAGCAACACGGACCATGGCGAGCTCGGCAGTCAGTCCCAGGACAAGAACGGATCAAGAGGCCGCCAGAAGTTGTCCCCTCCAACTCCCTCGGTATTCCTCTCACCGCAAATCTCATGAGCGCAACTCAGCCATGAACTCGCAAAGGCAGCAGCAACTCTTGCATAAAAGGACGGGGGCAGGCAATAGCTCATGCATTCCTTCCTCCCCTCACAGCTGCAGTGCAGGTGATCACCCCTGCACCTCCCGCCTCCTTCCGAGGCTCCGATCTCCTGAGTCAAACCCTCAAGGTGGACTGGGAGAAGAGAGAAGGAATCAAGAAAAGGATTATCGCCAAATGCGCAGGCATGCAGCTCCATCACCCTGACATTGCAATGCAAGGCGACTTCTGACACCATGGGCACTTTGGCAAAGGAGAGTAGTTGATGGCCCATCATCGTCGGACTCACGGTGATCCAAGGGACTCTGTGCAAGCAGGCACCAGCACAGAGAGCAAGGGCCCCCCTCAGGGCCGCATTTTCCCAACCAACTACCTCTCTCACTTTAGAATTCAGCCTCGGGGACCCCCACACATCCCCCATAGACCTTACGTTCTTTTCGCGGGCAGACCCTACTCCCCAGCATACAGGCAGAAAAAAGGCCCCCCCCCCGCGAGCTTGCCCTGCTGAAGCTTGTCGCACCACCTCCTCTCATCCTGCAGAGCCCACTCTTCCCAGGACAAGTGAAGCACGATTATATCTTGCCCCTTTTGTGCACACTCCTCTTCCAGCTTGGCCTGGAAGTCTTCACTCTGCCGCTGGCCTTTGCCAACGATAAGAAAAAAGGGGGCTAGCATATCGAGCATCGCCCTCGGCGCGACGTTGCACTTAGCCTCAGCCTCCCTCCGCACCAAAGGGAGGTGCACACAGAGGGCTTTTTCATGCAGAATTCTTTCACCCCTGATCGGTCCGCAAATCCTCACGGCCGCTTTCTCAGCCACGTGCTCGTGCTTCCCCACCCCCCGATTCTTTTTCTGCAGCAGGGCACTGGCGGTCCTCCACTCCTGGACTTCCTCCTTATTCACTCGGTGGCAGATCATGGCATGCCAACTCAGCGCACAGCTTCGATTATGCTTGAGATGCTTGCAAAGTCTCCCGTGAGAGTGAAATTCCGTCATGCACATCTGACAGTGTGTACCCACCGCCCAAGTGTTACAGTCCGAGCCGTGTTTGTGTTGTTTGCTTCGGTGTATGGCAAGACCCCTTGCTGACGGGGCCACATATCCACACTCTCAGCACAAAAAAAACCAACTACCTCGGAACTACTTCGTTCCTCTCTAGCGCTGTGCTCAGGGAGTCCGTGTGCTTGGCAAATCCTAAGAGTTTCTTTCGCTAGATACTGCTGCTGCTGGTGAAACAATTCTCGCCTGGCGGCTTCCACCACCAAGTTGACGAAGCGCCTCGGCTTGGCCCTAGCAGAGCTGAACCAGTCATCATTGCTCCCATCACCAGGAACCTGTCTCTTATCCGTCCTCGTGTTGAGCCAAACAAGATCCTCTCTCCTAGCCCCCACCCAACTCTCAGCGTCGTCCCACAGAGTGTCTAAAACCACTCTCAAGCCAGCCGGCCCCGTGGTGAGCACCCTCGGGAGATATCTCAACCTGGCAACGCGGAGTACACTGCGGTGGTTGAGCTTGCTGACAGCATGCACTACCGACGCATGGGACTGGTGGTGGTCCTTGTTGCCGCCGAGGGCCTCCCCCAACGCTGCACGATAGGCCGAGGCTTGAGCAGCAGCCATCTTACCATGAGACTTGTTGGATAGGGGCTCCCAAACACAACAATTGAACACAAGTTTGCTCAAAGCAAAGGCATCAGTGCAACGAGTGCGAGTGGCCAGCGTAAGGGCCTTCCTTTTGCCAAGAGCCACTTGGATGGGCCGAAGTTCGACCCTCATCTGAGAATCCTCCTCCCCCTCCTCCTCCTCCACCTCCCCCTCCTCCTCCTTCCTGCCCCTCCTCCTCCTCCTCCTCCTCTTCCTCATTATCATCGCACATCCCGAGGCACCAGAGGCAATCCACGAGTCAACACAAGATATAACATTGCAACAGCAAGTCTACCTCCCAGAGGAGGGGACAACAAGTCAGAGACAAGTTGGGATTACACAACACTGATTGGTTGGTCCTCCTCAAGCTGGCGCTAGAGGGCTAAATGTTTGGCTTCTTCGGCTTTGTCTGCAACTGCTGAGTCAAAACCCTCAACAGAAAGACCGAAAGAAGCAGCAACATGTTCCTTTCCCACCAATCCCCCACACCGCCACACTAGGGACTGAGAAGTCGGCAACAGGCTCACGCCAACAAAGCGACGAAGCTTTGGGGATGAGCATTGCAGCAATCGCTTGTGGGGAGGGGGCCTTCGAGGCCTCCACCGACCAACCACTGCACTGGCGAGATCCACAAGGAAACTGTAGCTTGCGGGCACGGTTGCGCTGCTTGCGCAATGTCTCAGTGGGTGGCGACACGTTGCACGGTTTGGCAAGGCTGAGGACCGCCTCCCAGGCGCATCCGCCACAAGCAGCGCAGACAAGCACGGCAGGGTTCTTCGGCGGAGCGGGCGGAAGCCCAGAGGAAATAAAAACCTCAGCTTGCCGCAAAACGCGGCCCTGCAGAGCCACCAGAGCATTGAGTTCATCAGAGATCTCAGGGGTGATGGTTGGCCTAAAGCTCCGTGGCTTGGCAACCTTACCCTTGGTCTTGCAAGGGAGGGCCCCTCCGTCCGCCTCCCCCGAGGTCCCCCGAGGAGGAAGAGGGAGGGAATC